GTATTGGTAGAGTGATGGTCTGGGGCTGCTTTGCTGCTTCAGGACGTGACTATTTGTAGGATTTTCAGCTCTCTAACTCCACCAGTTAAAAAAATGAAAGTTTTGGAGTGCGTAGTTAAAGTTTGGACTTCAATCTGATTGAGATTCTTTGGCATGCCCTCATGTTGGAAAACCCACTAATGTGGCTCAATCAAAACAATTCTGCAAAGAAGAGTGGGCCTAAATTCTTCTACAGTGATGTAAAAGATTCATTGGCAGTTATAAATGCTTGATTGCAGTTCTTGTGGCCAAGGGTGGCACAGCCAGTTATTAAATTTAGGGGAAAATTCCTTTTTCACATACAGCCAAGGTTTGTTTTTTTTTGCCTAATAAATGAAATCATCATTTTAAAACTGCATTTTGCATTTACTCAAGTTATAATTGTCTAATATTAAAGTTTCTTTGATGATTAAAGTGTGACTAACATGCAAAAAACTAACAAATCAGAAAGGCTTTGGGTTTGTTTTTTTACAGCACTCTATCGCAGTTGAAGATAAAGCGCAATAATCAATACTGAGGAAGTTTCACAAAAGGTCAAAAACGTGTTAATTAGTTTGTACCAGAAGAACACAATATGAAAGCAGCAAAACTTACACTTAGATTTAGATACAGTACAAATAAAATGTCTCTCAGGGCTCCGACTAGTACAAATAAAATGTCTCTCAGGGCTCCGACTGGCTTGTAGTCAATCTCCACTACATGTTCGAATTTTAATAATGCATTGCCTTTAAAAACCACACTTGTTCTCGGAGATAACACTGTGCTCAAAGCAAAAACCAAGCGTTGAATGTGTCCAAGTGAGCAATGCAGCATGTGTGAATGTGTAACAGCATAGGTGTCACATATCCCCTTGAGGTCAGTGCATAAAAATTCACCCCACATACACGGACACATACACGCACACACGCACACAAGGTTTACAATTAGTGTTCTGGTGCAATAGGCTGCAAAAAGTGCAATTCCCCTGTATCTAGGAAGCCCAGAGATTTTCTGAGCAGACATGACCTCTGACTGGGACTATGAGTAATAGTGTGTGCAAGAGGGGCAGGGTGCAACAGCAGGTTAGAGCACTTTCATTCCTTCTCAGCACATCAAAGAAGGCAGAAACAGCATACTAAAACAAGTGACAGAGGTTTTGTTCATTCATTCTTTTAATTGTAAGTTAATAGAAGGAGTGAGAGAATGATTCATTTTCACCTAATTCTTATTTTATGACAGGAACAGTGGTTAGTGATTTGAAATTACGCTGATTCTAATTAGTGGAATACTTATCATTCTTTTGTCACATTTTTCTTGGACTACTTAATGAAGTAATCACAGGGATCATGTGATTGGCAGACATTTTTGAGATTTCTGTGAGTCACAGTGGAAGTGATGCTGCTATTATCAAATAACTAAATTAATAATATAATAAATAGATTTTTTTTAAAAAGCAACTTGGATCGTACTGGCATCAGTTAAATTATAAGCGAGACACACTGTGAAACATATGAGCCAGTCACAGTATAGCATATGCACAGGTATGGTTCACAGCAGTTTCTTCTAATTTAGAGAGTTTTAGTTCAAAATAAATATTCAAAATTAATTAAAAGACTTCCAGCACTATGTGAAGAAGTAAATATGTGGGAAAGCAGTAGGTATTGTGGGGTACTAAAACAGCATTAGGGGGGCCTAATATCAATAACAAGTGCTTTCTCTCTGCTTCCACAGATTTGACATTGAAAAAAGCTGCAGTCTCTAAAACGTTGCAACTTATTCATCAAATAAGATTACCAACAGTTTTCTTAATCTTAAATCCCTGAAGAGTAATTTTCCGAAAATATTTTTCGGAATTATCGGCTTTCACTTGGCCTGCAGCCCTCATTAGTTACACACATGTATCCTTGCAGCCTTTGGTTAGAAGATTTAAACAAATTTTCCAGTTTATTCTTATGATCTGTGCTAATTGGATATAGCTATTTGAAGCTATCATTCACAAAGCCGCATGCAAATGATTCAATTTTCTTTGAAGAATTAATTTATGCATTACGATTTGAGTATTGTGACACAACGTCTTACAGGAACAATGTTTCTCGTCTCTAATGAATGGGATAAACAAATTATTTACTGGAGTAATAAAATCATATTTGCTGAAAATTGCCCATTATTTCTGTAATACTTTTTGTTTTTTTATCTCTTGATCCCAAAGCAAGTGTGACGAGCTTTATAATTACTTCTGCTTGGAGACGTTAACCGCTAACCAAACAGATAATATAAGGCAATCAATTTAGCCAACTGCTATAATATGTCGATGCACATTTTGTCTTCTGAGGCCTACATCTAACAGCCCACACTGAAAAGTAAATAAATTAAATTAGGAAAGATATTTTTATTTGCTCGTGTCTGTTGAGATGTGTGACGGGCATGCATAGATAGATTCTTTTGATTGCAGCGATGTATTTTTATTCATGTATATACTATTTATATATATATATATAATGTTCTTCCTCTACCCCCCCCCTTTTTGCACATGTCGAGGAGCGTGTCAGGTTATATTTCACTGTGTGTTATACTTGTATAACTATGCATGTGACAAATAAAGAACCTTGAACCTTGAACCTAACATAGAGAAATATTTGCAAATTTCTTCTTTACTTCAAGTCATTATGGTTTGTAGACGTTTATTTATTCACGCTCTCTTAAGATCCCACTGAAGCATTTCAATGTGGTTCCTGTCTGGACTTTGACTGGGCCACTGCAATACACTGAATCACTGTCCTGTTGCTTGACATCGTGTGTTGGACAGTCGGACTCAAATTTGACTATAGAATACCTGAGTTTACAGAGGAGTTTACGGTTGACTCAATCACTGCAAGGTGAACTGTGGCTGCAAAACAAGCCCAAATCATCTCCCCTCCACCACAGTGGTTGACAGCTGGTGTGAGGTGTTTGAACTAATATGTTGTGTTATGTTTTCGCTACACGACACTTGCTGGCATTATGGCCAGACATCTCCAATTTGTCCTTGTGTGTCAAAAGGACATTGTTCCAAAAATCTTGTGGTTTGTTTAGGTGCTACCTTGTGCTGCCATGTTTGTTTTTGAGAAAAGAGGTTTTCTCCTAACAGCCCTCATACTTTTTGAACTCTTTTCTAATTGTCTGCAATGTTGCTCTTATGTTTGTTTGTTTTTTGTAGCATTGCATGCTACTTACCCTCCTAAATCCTGTGGAAGACTGAACCGCTGTACCTCATTTTGATTTTGTTTTTGTTATATTAAATAATATCACAACATATTATGTCACATGTCGTTGTTCATCTGTGGTGTTATTTAGGATATACTAAAGATGAGGTCTGAGTGGACTGATGTATCAACCAAACACTACACATTAAGAAGTTGGTTTTAATTTAAATCATTTTTAATTTTGTTCTTGTTTGGGCTTTTGTGTCCCCTTGGTATCATTCTTGTTAAAATGATATGAGTCTGACTCTTGAGAAGTGACTGAAGCACATGCTACTGCAAATGTATGCTTTGCACCAGGTTCTTTTTACCACAAAGCTTCAATAATACACGAATGAGTCACTGTCTCTATGCGACTTCCTGTAAAGATAGGCCATCCTGTCTCGCAGTTTCTGCCCCATTTTTTAACCTCAGTTGACATTCTACTCTTTCTGCCTTTCCTGAGTGCCTCAATCAGGCTCAATGGATACAGTCTGATTCGTTGTAATGAGTTTGGGGACCTCAAAAATGGCTGGAAATGCATTGGGAATAGTTTTCTGTCTTCTACTTCTTGCTTCTACTATTCAAGGTAATTCTGGATATCCACATGTTTTTGGGGGGTTATGATATACTGGCAAAGATTAATGTTTAGCATTAGTTTTGAAATACGTTTTGGCTTCTGGTGTGACAAGCTGTGTTACTATAATCCTAAGCCTGCACCCCAGCAGACTGCAGTCTATTTTATCACCTTCAAAGTATAAGTGATTTTGTGTCCTGACTTTTGTCACTTCTAACACTATCTGATGTGTCTGACAGGGATCCAGGGTGTTGAGTTGTTCTATTATGAAAAGATGGAAGCTGTAGTGGGCCAGAATGTTTCCTTACCCTGCACTTTAAAAAGTGCTACTGATAACAAGATTGTCAGCATTGAATGGAGTAAGGAAACAAATAAAACTACAAAGCTGGGTTTGCACAGCCAATTTTATGGATTCCATCTATTCTGGCAAAATATTACCATCCAGATTGAGAAGAACGGTAGAGATGTACTGGGTTCCCATCTAATACTTTCTGATGTGAAGAAATCGGATGAAGGCATCTATGTTTGTGACATGGCCACCTTTCCTGATGGATCCAAAAAGGTTAAAACACAGCTAATAATCAAAGGTAAGAGAACCTAGTACACACAAAGCCATATCTAAGTACCTAAACCAGACTTTGTAGACCACCCTGGATTTAATATTTAAATAGAAATACACAACATCTTTCTAT